ATATATATATATATATATATATATATATATATATAATTTTATTTTATTTTTATTTTATTTAATTTTTTTTGGGGGGGCGGGGGTAGGTATTCTAAAACCACCAAACTTGTTTTAGTGATCTTCAGATCCAAAAGAAAAACATTTGTGGATATTTAAAATATATATTGATAAAAAAATCAATATCGTATCATATGACCTTTTTTTATTTGAGAGTTTTGAAGAAAGTTCATGCTTGATTGCAAGCTGGTGAGGATTTGGAGTAGTTTAGTTTTTGGCAATTTCCAATCTCCTCCTCATCTTGCTATCTTATTCATATACCATGAGATTTTTGTTTATCTGCGTTAGTCTATATTATGGGTGCTGACTCCTGATCTCTATGGCAATTGGGAGTATTTGTGAACTGTCATATCTCAAGTCTTGGTTACATGAACAAAGAAAGGAACGAGATGTAACTATTGCAAGCAGTGGGAACATTAGCACCAGCAATTGCAGCCATAGATTCCAAAATTAGACCACAATAGAACTCAATAAAATTTTTCTCTTCCAAAAATAACAGATATTTTCTTACTAGTCAAAAAGCATCATCCATAAGAGAATAATCCATGTAAACCGCAACAAAGAGGGTAGTAGAACACAACATCAACGAAATTTGTGGATTGCATGCACCTTGAAACCTTCGTGCCTAGGCAGCCAGACCCTCTGCCTGCTTAGGCAGTGCCACCTGGCATTTTGTGAACTTTGCGATTATCATCATATTCACAATGATGTTGAAAAGAAATCATTTCTGCTGATTGTTCAGGATCCTTGGTGGAATAAACATTTCTATTGCACATGCTATGGGTGTGCTTCTTGTGTCATCCAGAATACTTTTGGCCCCATGCACTGTCAATGTACTGCCTTTCAACGCCAATGATGACTGGGTCAAATTCTTTTGCTAAAATGATCTCATATAAAGGATACCATTGTAGTCTTTAAACAAGTTAAATGCATCAAATAAGAGGGCCTTGCATTAGAAAAGTGGACCATGAATCTTCTCACCCCAAAGTAGCCATTTGGATGCGAGTATGGAGAGAAATGATGGACACCTTGGGTAAGTCTCTAATATTATAAGGTAGTGTCCTTGATTTCATTAGAAAATGCCTTGCCAAGAAGTTTGGGGCTTAATGTCTTGCCGTAGCATGGAAGACGTGCTGCTGTACTATGGGCCCTTTGGAACGCGAGAAACGAGGCCATTCACAATCAGCATAGACCTGATTCGGCCACCATTAGGCGTTCGTTAAGCGTATGATTAGAGCACCACAAGTGGGTTAACACTTTAAACAATCTAACCCCATGTGCACTATTAAATAATTATTCTCCTATTGTATTTTTAGGCAGTTATGTTGAGGACTTGAAAGTCTCATGTTTTAACATTGTGAACATCCCATTTGGGATCTTATACAGTCATGCATGAGTTACAACAGGTATACTACATTTTACCTCAAACTGTTGCTTGCCAAAGTGGACATACATGGAGGAAAGATTGGCACCCGCCATCTGTTGTTAATAATGGAGGGTTTATGTGTAGTTTACTGTTGGTAAACTATTATGCCTCACTATATATTTCATCTTCATTGTTAGGGGTAGTATTGAGGGGTAAAGAATCATAGATTAGTTCAACTGCTTGGTTTTTCACTGATGCTTGTTGGATTTTTGTGTTACTTTTCTTCTAGAATACTCAAAAAATACTATCATATGAGGATTGAGAGAAAATATTAAGCGGAAATTTGAAAATATTATTTCTCTTTGAAAATATTAAAACAAGGGGACTACTTGAAGCCTGACAACAGTGCCTTGCTTGTTCAATGTTTAAGAGTATCACATGATGAACAATCCAGAATTATTTTAACTGATCTTCTGCAAACCTATAAATGATTAAGTCATAATTTTGGATGCTTTTTTTCCTTTTTTCCTTTTTTCCTTTTTTCCTTTTTTCCTTTTTAATACACTCTTCTTCATTTCTGGTATAATTGAATATGTTGTGGCACCATATTGATGAAAGACTATTGCAATGTCTAGGTGGGAAATGATTAACCAATGGAATCATTGTGTTATACAGGACAATTCCTTCGAAGGCCTTCTTAGTTTGGAGGACCAAATTCTTCATTCTGTGATACTGTCTGTGATTGCTAAAGATAAGGAGGGTGCAGGATCAGTAGTAGAAGAATCTGCAACAAAAGCACACACATTTTTGGAGGAATATATGGGAGAAGATCAGCACTGGGAGCTGTTCCAACAGTGGGAGAGGTTAGTCTCATTTCTTTTACCACCAGGCTGCCCATACAGAGGAAACGAAACAAACTTCTAATTTTGACATTGCAAAATTGATTTCTCTTCTCATTTTAAATGGTTCAAAATTGATCCTTTTTCTTATTTAGGGAGGGAGGGGAGGTTGGGAGGGTTTACACTCGCTATGCTTGTTATTTTATATTGCAAAAGTGATTCTGAAGAATTAATTCTTATTTGAAATGGTGACTACCATCTTTCATTCCTTGTGATTGATGCTTTGTTCATTCTAGGCTGAAGCCTTCCACAAGGCATGTTTTAGCTTTGGTTGCTGAGGTGGAGTCACTAAGGCGTGACAAAGATCATCTGAGGACGAACCTTCACAAAGCTGAAGAAGAGGTATGTATACATTTGAAACATGTTGCATTGGAGATCTCTAAAACCCTTACTGTCCTTTTTTCTTTCTCATGACTCTTGGTTTCATTTAGGTATCTAAATTTTATGAGGAAAACAAGCTTTTGGATGAGGAGAACAAGAAGCTTCTGAGACACAGCAACAGGGAGCGGCGTCATGCATCACATGATGGCAGCCATCTATCCCCACATTCAGCCAAAGTGAGAAGAAGGCATCTTTTCCTTCTCAGTAAAATTTTTTGAACTTATCTTTCCCTCTCTTGCTAGAATTTGTTTAAGTTGATTAAGACACCCCATCTAATGCCTTTGATTCATCCAAATTGAGAAGAAAGCCTCCCTTCTAACTGAAAATCCCCTCATTCAGCCAAAGTGAGAAGAAGGCATCTTTTCCTTCTCAGTAAAATTTTTTGAACTTATCTTTCCCTCTCTTGCTAGAATTTGTTTAAGTTGATTAAGACACCCCATCTAGTGCCTGTGATTCATCCAAATTGAGAAGAAAGCCTCCCTTCTAACTGAAAATCTATTAAAACTTATTTGATGCAAGTTGTGGTTTGTTTTATTTCTTTCAGCGCAAGTGAGAAACAAGCATCCTCTGTCACTGAAATTGTTTTAACTTTTTTGAACAAATTTTGGTTATTAGCGCTATAAAATGAGAAATTGTTTAAGTTGAAGGCATCTTAAAAATTCCTCATTCGACCAAAGTGAGAAGAAGGCATCTTTTCCTTCTCAGTAAAATTTTTCTAACTTATCTTTCCCTCTTTCGCTAGAATTTGTTTAAGTTGATTAAGACACACCCCATCTAGTGCCTTTGATTCATCCAAATTGAGAAGAAAGCCTCCCTTCTAACTGAAAATCCATTAAAACTTATTTAATGCAAGTTGTGGTTTGTTTTATTTCTTTCAGCGAAAGTGAGAAACAAGCATCTTCTGTCATCCAAATTGAGAAGAAAGCCTCCCTTCTAACTTAAAATCTATTAAAACTTATTTAATGCAAGTTGTGGTTTGTTTTATTTCTTTCAGTGAAAGTGAGAAACAATCATCCTCTATCACTGAATATTTTTAACTTTTTAGAACAAATTTTGGTTATTAGCTCTATAAAATGAGAAATTTTTGTAATGGTACTAATAGTCTCTCAACCAATGATTTCTGATTCAATTTGTTTGTGCAGCTAAATAGTTTTTGTCATAGTTCTTTACCGACTGGTTATAACTCTAGGCCTTATATTTCCTCAGAGCAAGAGATCACCAAGCCCCAAGGTGAGCCAATCGCCCGAGAAGCCAAGCGATCCAAACAGTCTTGATACGCTGAGGCAGCCTCTCTCACCTTTGCAATACAACCCACCAGCTTCCAAAACACCAATTCGCTAGTAAATCTTAACTTTACTTAATAGTAGGGTCGTCTCTCTCTCTCTCTCTCTCTCTCTCTCTCTCTCTCTCCTGGTGGTCAGCCACATTATTTTGTGTACACAATCACACGGAGTGACTTGCGAAGGTGCTCCCTTTTGTGATTACGGATTCCCATAATTGTTTTGTACAATCACACGGAGTGACTTAAAGAGAATATATGACAAAGTGATCATCTCTTTTATGATCTTATACATGGTTGTCATAATTTGGAAAATGTTAAGGATGTTACTTCCGATCAAATTGATCATCTATTTGCTTTTTGTAAAGCAGGGAATGGTTGTCGGTGATATTGTTATTAATTTCTTTGTAGGATTCTTGTGACATGGAACAACTAGAGAACTCAATCTTCACGGATGTTCAAAAATTGAAGTGTAATCTCGACCAGTTCTATTCTTTGGAGTCTATTTTCAATCTATCTGTAAATTTTCCATATAGGATTCTTGTGACATGAACTAACTAGAACCTTCAATCTACATGGTTCTTCAAAAATTAAAGTGTATTCTTAACTTGTTCTAATATTTGAAATCTGTTTTAATCTGTCTGTAGTTGGTCTCTCTCCCTCTCATGTTGATTTGATTCTAGTTCATTGAATTTCATAAAATCTTTACATCGTGTATTATTGCAGTCTATATGTCCATATGGTGTATTTCATATATCAATAATTTCCAGATTTCCCGGCTGGTGCATTAATGAAGAATATTTTTACTTACCCAAAAAAAAACATTTTCCAGATCTATTAACAGCCAAAACTTGGTTTGCTGCACCTAACTTATCCAACTTCCCTTATCTCATTGTGTATTGCTATAAGGTTCGATGGTATTGTATTTAACGAATCTTCCTTCAACCACCTTTTTCCCTTACTCTTTCTTCTTGGAGCAATTGTACCCTTTGAGGGAGGACCTTCATCTCAGCTTTGTTGTTGATGATATCCCTGTTGGTCCAGAGTTAGGATGACCCTTCCATTCTTTACTAATCCTCCAAGGCCTGATTGACCTGGGTTTCCCTGGGCACTTCCATCAAAGTTGAGCTCAATACTTCCCAAAGGTGCTGGCTGCCAGGTTCCATTTCTTTGCCACTTAATAACTCATTGTCGTGGCCACCTCCCCGTAGTTCCTTCTTAACTGAGACCCAATCTGCTACAATCCCTATGATTTTTTACCTTCATTTACTCCAAATTTAGGGATGTTCCTTTGATGCTTCTTCAATTCCTTCCATTTCATAGTTGCCATAATGGTGCAGCCACTAGAGGCCTGCCACACATGCTTCTACCCACTTTGGATAAAAGAGATGTCGTTAGCTGTTCACATAGATTTGAAGCAGGTACAGGAACAATTGGTTCTCGCCTGATTTTTGGCACGGCCCAGTTCTGCAGGGTGCTTGCTACTTGACAATGTAGGAAGAGATGATCTCTATTTCCTTCATTTTGTTTAAACGTAGTACATGCATTTGTTATGACCGTCCCTCTTTCTTAGTTTGTACACTGTCAAGAACTTGCCCTTCTGTGTAAATTCCAAACTTGCCCCCTTGTGTGGGGTTTGGAGTTCCCATACCTTCTGGATTGTGTTGTTTGACCATCTTGGTCTGTCGTGAAGAATCGTAGTGGGTTCTCACTGAAAATATACCATCCGATATAAGCTCCCAAACTATTTGGTCTTCTATCCTCTTTCTTAGTTCGTACACTGTCAAGAACTTGCCGTTCTGTGTAAATTCCAAACTTGCCCTTTTGTGGGGTTTGGAGTTCCCATACCTTCTGGATTGTGTTGTTTGACCATCTTGGTCTGTCGTGAAGAATCGTAGCGGGATCTCACTGAAAATATACCATCCAATATAAGCTCCCAAACTATTTGGTCTTCTATGTTGGGGCTACAGTCTTATGGTATGTATGCCTATTGTTAGGTGTCCAACAGTGTAGTAAACTGCACTGTTTAGTCTAATTTTATTGTTATACCCCGACCTTGTAACCTGGTCCCTCACTTTGGCTCCTGGTTTTGAGGTTTTCTCAAATACCTCATGAAATTGAAACTTCAATGATCTCAAAATCCCCATGAAATTGAAACTTCAAAGTTCTGTTCCTCCACCATTTTTTTTGCCAAAGCATTGTTTAATCCCCTTTTCCAACCACATTTCTAAACTTCCATTTTGAACAAGGATTTGTAGTGACCAATTGCTCTCCCCACTGCTGAGGCTTTATTTTTTTCCTTTGGAACAAGGATTTACATCTCTCTCTCTGCAGATTGGCTTGCAAAGTGCTCCTTTTGTGATTACTGATTCCCATAATCTGAACTGTATTGTACATCCACTCAGGATAACTTGCAGTGATTATAATTGAAATTGACCGTCACTTTTATGATCCTATGCATGCTTGTCATAAAATGGAAAATGATAGGGATGTTGTTTCCTTTACCAATGCTATTTGCTCTTTGTAAAGCATGGCATGGTTGTCGCTGATTAACATGGGCTCCAACTACAACAAAGGAAGCATCAAAATGCATGGTAACTTGGATTTTGCCAAGTTTTGTCCAAAATAATGTGAAAAATTATGTGCTATATAGGCTCAATAAGAAGTTATGGAATATAATTCTAGATATAGGAATATTCATGTAGATGTTAATTTTTTATTTTAAGTGTCAGTTCAATCCTATCAGCCGCTGATCACATGCTTATGGTGTGCCATTCGAATCCTCAGTTGAAGGGGAGGCAGTGCAGTGGGTCTTTACATGATCTAACAACTCGTGTTTATTTGATGGGAAATTTACCAAACACCCAAGAGGTGAACTACTTAATATCTCTTCTAATTCTTTTTATTTAATTTCATAAAATCGTCAAAGGACATATGGTCCTGAGAAAATTAGACGTTGTGTTAGGTGTTTTTTGATTAATGGGTGTACGTGTTATGTAGTTGATATTTTAGGTGTGCTACAATAAAGTTCCTTTATTTGAATAAAAATATGCTCTAGTGGTTGGTAGAGGGTAACTTGCATTATGTAGATTTAGTATTATGGAATCTATACAGTAAGACTGGTACTTTTCATTTAAAAAGGTCTCTAACACTCTATGCCATTTGATTTGAACTCGGACAATCAAGGTATATCATTTCTCTGCACAAAGTTTGAGGAAATTTGTAAGGGTACTTGACAATTCATCTGCCTAATTTCGCATTTGATTGCTATGGCTCGGAATGATTGTGGGGTTTACCAAAGACAAAATAATTTTATTGTATACTTTTCCTTAATTAGGATGGAACCCCTTATGGGGGTTTTCGTAGTTTCATATTATTGGGTTTAGTAGAGGGATGATATGATAGGATCCATAGGGTTATACTGTATAATATTCTCACTGCCCCCAACAGATAAATTGGATGGTAATGCAGGCATTCGGTCTCACAAAAGAGTCACTAATTTTATGGTTATCAAGACTGGACTAGATCCACTGGTATGATTGGTCGAACTTGTGCTATGATCCAAAGGACAAATAGGGCGGGCTAGATAATCAATCAGAACTAATATTCGATGTGTTTTTGCCAGTGGAACTAATCAGTTTTGATTTGTTCGATTGAATAAATAAAGCTATACAAATCTTTAAAAGTATTTTATATTAACTATTATTATTATTTTTTTTAATCTTTTACAAAACTCTCTCCAACAGATTATACCGGCAATTGGACCGGTTTTGACGAAAACTAAACCTCTTCATTCGGTAACATTATTCATTTCATTGATTGAATGGTGATAATGCCTATGATCAAGTTGTTTATCATAACCGTATGAATCATATTATGTTTTCCCTTGTGAAAATTTCAAAAGAGGAAAACCTCACATGGGAAGATGGATAGCCTCCCTTGTTGTACTTTCCATTCCCACTGCCACAACCCTACTAACACATTAAAAAAACTAGTTTCTAAACTATTTGAAAAAGGATGCGGTTAGCATGCGGACCAAGTCTGCATATGTAGAAATGTGGGCCCTTTAATAAATCTATATTTGAGATGGATTTTTGGACATAATTTTTAAGGATATGTAATGTCCAACATGGAGATCATGAATATGAAAAAATAAAATAATAATTTTTTTAAGAAAATATTTGGACCGTTAGTTTCAATTGTTTTTAGATAGACCACATATTTGCATCCATCTTTAAGATGTATGCTTTATACATTTGGAGTGCATGATGTAGAAATGCAGTTCAGCACACATGAAATAATTTTCCTTTTAAAAAACAGGTAGGGGTCCATCTTTCCCACTTAGTTATCAAAAATAAAAAAAATAAAAAATAAAGAAAAGTAAAGAAGTAAAAGACTTTCTCACTGAGTTACCAAAAAAAAAAAAAAAGCCTCCCATCGGTTGTGTAGAGCGCGCCCACCTTGCTGCTGATTGATAGTGAGATTTATTTGGTTGCATACGTCTGAGTGCATAATGAGAGATAGAGCCGATTCCTACTTTTAGTTTTTCCTTTCCTTCTTGACAAGACAGCCTTGGCCTACCTTCCTATGTCTATTATTTACTCTTCATTTTTCACGTACCTCTTAAATATTGCCAAGTAGTTTTTTAGCTTGCCCAAAAATCCAATAAAGTTTTTGTTGAATTCTCGTTCTATCACAATATCACTTACTTTACACCCCTTACACCAAACCTCATTTGCAAGCATGGTAACGGACTGGGTCAGTGGCCCGGTCCGGTCACGGCTAAGCCCAAGCCTGGGCCAATATGCGGCCTCTAAACCAGGCATGGCATAGCTATGACTTGGCCCTGACCTTAACAAAAGGCCGGGCCAAGGTAGGGCTGGCCCAACCCGTTTCAAGGGGTAATTCCTTTTCCAGAAAACCTGCGTGCCCATTAAAGGGTCCTCCATATGATCTCTTTCTTTCTCTCTCTTTCTTCCCCTTAGTGATTGAGAAAATGCCAATGTGGATCGAGAGTTCAAGAATAGGTGGGGATCACAACCCGGGTCCTTGACGGAACCATGAATTAGTCTGTTTTATAGGTGCTCAATACTTATGTTAGGGAACCGGGTGAACCAATCATGGAACTGGGTGTTTTGGATTGGCCAAATTGACAGTTTCTACTAATTTTATTTTTCATTATTTATATTTTTTTAAATTTTTAAATATTATTTATTTATTAATTTTGGATGACATTGGAACATCAATCTGATTCAGCCTAGATATGTTATCTAGATGGTCCAATCGGTGACCGATTTGGCCACCCAATCGAGGTTTCAAAACATTGTTAAACAAATTTTTTTTTAAAAAAGAATATATATAAGGAGTTCACTCACTATTGGTACAAAGAGGTTATAATCATTATTGACTATTAAATAAAAAATCGGAGGCTATAATCATTATTGACCATTAAATGAGAAATCGAACGGAAAATATTGTGCTATTGATGGGACACAACGCCTCTACAGGATTTTTTAAATGATGTGACACACTTTAATATCTAGGATTTTGCATCCAAAGATGAGAGTAATCGTGACTTGGCACTAAAGATAAATGATCCCACAATATAAATTTTCTTGGTCCGTTCTTATTCTATGCCTTTATACTATGCTCCCTCGGGAGCATAGTATACTTCTACTCGCTCGGTTAAAAGGCTTATTTGAGAGAATTTTTCAATTGAAATTTTGGGATTATTTTCTAAAAAGAAAAAAATTTAAATTTGAGTTTTTTAAAACTTATTTCTCACCCTTTAAAAGTTGGATGGTCTCTACTCAATCTTAAAATATTATTTTTTCAAGTGCATAGAAAGTATAGGTTAATCTATGTATAAAGAGGTTACATCCCCAAGATTTGGGACTCTAAAATTAACTCTAGGTGGGATTTGACGTGAGAAAGTAAATTCAGACATTTTACTCGGTCGGCAAACATACTGTTCATTTTTGCTAAAACTTTTTGTGCTCCCAAGAGCATATTGTCCATTTATTCCCTCCAGTAAAAGCCAATCTATGAGTAATTGAGGACCTCAAATTTGGCTGATGTTACATTTCTAACTCATAGACTAACCTCAATTGAAATTTTTTCTAAATCACACTATCTATATACGTGAAAACAAATAATGTCTCAAGATTATTTGTAGTTTTTAGGGTGAGATCTAAGCGTTAAAATACTAAATTCAAAATTTCTTTTAAAAATAATCATTTAGTAGTTCTTAGCTGGTTCCAAAATTTTCAAATTGACAAAATCCTCCCAAGTAAGCTATCAACCAAAAAGAGTAGATATATAGTATGGTCCTGCGAGAGCAAAATATACATGATCGTTTTACAACTTGGACTCGTCATTCGTGATAAGGTGGGAGAGGAAAATGAGTTGTCTGAGGCGGTTGGTCGGCCATATTGTCTTGTGCCAAAAAGAAAGAAAGCAACGCTGCTACAATGGATTGATTTATTCATGAAATGTAAGTGCTGATCTTTTATATTTGATTGATTTCCCATTACTTTCCATGATCTGAAAATGGTGATTCAGTGGTTTTCTTCGATAAAAATAGATTGCTCTATCACCAATTAAAAAAAAAAAAACAAATTACTTGGCCTATCCACTTGTATAGTACAGTAGATGCTTTTCGGCACTTGCGGTTTCGAGATGCTTCCTGGGCTTTTACAATGAATCTTCGGTAAATGCGGTTTATTTAAGGTGTCAATCTTAAATAATTGAAGTAAGGCACTTATACTGGAAGATGCAGTTCTGGGTGTCAGAAGATACAGATCGGTATTAGCAACCTCTGTGATAGCCTGAAGAACTGTTTCTACACTTAATTATAAAATTTGAAGCTAAAAAAATAGCATAGATCGAGTAGATCCATAAGTATTTGAAATATTCGAAAATGGGTGGTTACGGCGGTAGAGATGAAATGGTCTTATGATCAAGTCTTTCTTGGATCAAGCATAAAAGCGGTGCATCTCCACCATCTGTTTTGAGCACAGGTTGTTGACTTTACATGTCGTATTCATATTATTTGTGCCTTAAACCTAAGCCATCAAACCCCTAATTGAATATTTGAAATCTTGCACCAATATAATGTAATAGTCTATATACCATGCAATATTTGTATGAATGTTATTGACTGATATTTCACCATTGAATATAAAAATATCGGACACTTTATTGATGTATATACTGTGTAGTACGCTCTCTTTTCCTATTAATTAGTCAAGGAAGAAGTTTATATAAGGTATCGACCCTATATTGTAGAAGTAAGATGCACCTCAAGAATTTACCGGAAAGGCTAATTCAATGTTGATTACCTTGTCAAAAAAAAAAGAAAAGTCGAAAAACCCTACAATTGATCATCTTGGTTTCAAGAAAATGATTTCGAGTCCTAAAATTAATGCATATTGTAAGACGCCATCTAGACAATCTATTTCTAAGTGTTTATAGATTTGCTCGATCTACACAGTTTTAATGCTTTGCATTCACAATTAGGAGTTCAAATGATTTTTTAGGCTAATATAGAAGTTTTCGGTGCCAAAACCACCTCTTTTAGCAGGATTTAGAGGTATGCCTTACTTTGATTGCTCAAGGTTGACATCTTGTGCAAACTGCACCCATTATTAACTGAGAAAGGGAAGGTTTGGTTTTAGAGTAGCACCCTTTCAAAATTCAATGAGTCACAACTTTAGAAAAGAAAGTGAGGTCACCCAAGTAAAGGCAACTAGGTTCATAATGGGATTAATTCTATGAGACAAAGGTCTTCCTGTTAATATAGGTCATACAACCAAGGTAGAACAAAGAGGTAAGTCTAGAAGGCGGACTCATTTCTCCTTAAAATGTACATGTGTGAAAATTTTGGAGACCATTGAACCCCTACTTTTCTTAAAAGGTATGGTTTGCCTAAGGTTGTAGCCTTAAATATATCATCAAAGCTAGTTTTGGTGTAAATTTTTTTTTAAGATGACTTGAGAATCTATTTAATTATAAAATTTTAAGCTTCAAAGATAGTTCAAATCAAGAAGATTTATAAACACACGAAAAAATCTTGAAAATGGGCTGTCTAGATAGTGTGATGAAGATGCACTATTTTTCAGACTCGAAATCTTTAT